CCCCAAAACCCCAAAACCCCAAAACCCCAAAACCCCAAGTGGATTAATCTCAATAGAATAATTCGTAACTGTTAATGCTCTTGGACGGACACCAATGGAACGAAGTGGCTTCCAAGCCCAAACCCAATATCTTCGTTGTTCAGCTGTCCTTCGTCAAACTGGATGTCTAGGTGAGTCACAATATAAGCAATGGCTATCTTCATTTCTAGCATAGCGAATGAAAGTCCAGGGCAACTTCTCATCCCATGGCTAAAGGTTCTTCTGGAGTAGACGTCAGGCTTCTTACCAGCATCCTTGGATTTTAGGTAATACTCAGACTCGTAATCATGTCTCTCTGGAATAAACGTGTACTCATCCAGCCATTTGTCTTTGTCAAAGTGACAAGTGGTCAAGTCAATTCTAATTTTGGTACCTTTGGAAATGGGTACGTCACAGATTTTGATATCTTCTAAGGCAGAGTAAGCAAAACTATGAGGAACTACAACGTCACATCTGAATGTTTCTTTCACACAACAAGCTAGATAAGTCATGCTCTGGATCTTCTCCATTGTGCATGCTTCAGTGAATGCTGTTCCTTTGCTGAATCCATTATCCTGAAGCTCTTGTCTCAGCTTCTTCAAGGTTTCTGGATACTTGTTTAAATAGTACAATCAAGATACAAGAGAATGAGAAGTAGTCTCTGCCCCAGCGAGCATGATGCCACAAACTTCATCAAGCTTCTCTTCTTGAGTAGAAATTGGGTCACTGAAGATCTGGTACGCTGTCTTCTGTTCTTTGGAGTTGTTGACTAACTGGAGGATAGCTCTTTTGAATTCAGCTGCATTCTTAGCATCTCTTTTGAATGGATTCACAAGCCCATTTTCCTTAAGAAAAGTGAACATATGGCAGAGAGGATGGAACACATGGCTGAGATAGCATTTGGTGATCCTGATCAACATCTCTCTCAACTCGATCATTTCTGTGGACCCGTCAGTGTTCTCGTACGGGTAGAGTTTGGACGCTAGTTCTTTTACGTCATCACCGAACAGGATATCTGCGAATACGTCAAAAGTAAGAATATTCATTGAGTGAACCAGATCAGCTTGCTTCTGAGCCTTCATGCCATTGCACACACGCTCAAAACATCTCAGCATATGAGGGATGTACTTCGAAGCAGAATTGAGGCCAACCCAGGACAGCACATTTTTCCTTCTCCTCATAACTTCTGGAGTGGAAGGCTTGGTACCCAAGGCTGTAGGAATGAACCCTGATACGCCATTTATGGTTACACTTTTGTCTATCTTAGTCCCTTGCAAACTAAGGAATTGCTCCAAGGCTCTATTACTTAGAATCATGATATTTGGAATGATGCCATCAAGCTTGGCTCTGAGGTCAAACTTGTTGTACTCATGAGCGTTTGCTTTTAGATGGGCATAGTGCGCTTTGTTGCCCTTCATTGAGGTTAAGTGATCTTTGATATCTCCCAGCACAGGACAGAAAGAATCTCTAGATATCACATTGGGGTACTTCTTGTACTTCCTGTAAAATAAATATGGATGCAGGATAACAATGTTGAGGCAGTAGGCTGCTAGAACTACAAAAACCATAAGAATGTATTTTCAAAGAGTCCAGAGTAGCTCTGAACTATAAAAACTACTAAGAGGCATATTTAATCTTTTCTATTATAGTTTAAACCTCTGGGGTTTTGGGGTTTTGGGGTTTTGGGGTTTTGGGG